TGTAGCTATAGGGGACTTAAGTTAACTAAAATAGGATTGCTATTAGTCGAGGAGGTAGTAATAGCATTGTATTAAGGATTTTAAAGAAGGCCTCCGGATTAGGTATCGGAGACAAAGAAGGGGAAGTTAAAATAGCTTAAATAGAAGGCATTTTTTAGTATATATAGAAGTAGTTAGATTGATATGTAGTATAGTTGTATTACTATATATTATATATAGTGTCCTTCCTTTAAAATAGCCTTCTCTTGTTAGCTTATATGCCTCTTTGCCTTGTTCCTTAAATTCGCGCTTCTTCTACCTCCTTCCGTACCTCCGCTCTTATAATAGACCGAATAAGGTATTTATAGTCCTAATCGAGGTATAAATAGAGGCGCAGGCGGTCTCGTAATACAGTCGCTTAGTCAACATTGCTAGTAGTGTTAGTAATAGTTAGTAATAGAATCGGAAGACTCGAAGCGGAAGGCTAATAAGAATCGGAAGACTCGAGGCGGAAGGCTAATATATAACGTAACCGTACGAGAGGCTAACAGGCCATTATCCAGTCGGATAGCAAGCCTTTAAATGCCTTATTATATAGATAGATACCATGTAAACAACCTGGCTCGAAGGAAGTTAGTATCCTTGTGTCCACTCGGTTCTTGAAAGAGGGTGTATGCTAGACTGTGGGATGGCGCATGTAGCCTTGAGGGTATGGCGAACTATGTATGTATTACTCGGATGAATCCTTAAAGTTTGTTCCGGCGCATGGTCAGGCCATGCATGCTGAGTTCAGTTAATGTAGCAGAAAATCCCACGATCTTGGGGGGGAGGGGGGCTTTAGCGATTCGAAGGAGGTTGCCTGCTGGATGGATGCTCATGTAGCACTGTAATGTGCCAACCAATCGCGCTCGGGGGGCGGTGACATGGTGAAGGTGAGGCTCGTCGAAGTGTGGTTGGTCTGACAAAGTGTCCTCCCACGACAAAGGTTACTGTACAAAGGATGGACAGGACAGGCATTCCACGACCATTGTCCAGGGGGAATTCAGCCTGTGTGGACCGTACCGCCGTCTGATCTACATAGCCGTGTAGCAGACCTCGTGGCCATCGGGACCCGGGGTGTGGCTGCCATGCGGCGAGCACACATACGAGGCTGCACCTGGCGTTTCTGAACAGGTTCTGGCTGGTGCTCGTGCGGAGGCCGAGTGTGGCAAATGCAACGAGGTGCTTGAAAAGTGAAACGCAGGAGTGTGCAGGTACAGAGTGGTCGTCGTGTCAGAGGGCGGTCGCCGGTACAGAGGACGTCGGGAGTTGTGCCAGGGAGTCCAGGCTGGGCCGTGCAGATGCGGACCAGCTATTTTGCCAGGGCGACAAGGCGACATACAATATCCGGGGTTTGCGTCAGCCACTTCACCCCTCGCCCCGGGCTCGGGGATTCCGGCCATACGTAAAATCGCTTTTTCTTAGTAGGCTATACGTAAAACTCGACACTATAGTATATTATAGAGTATATAGACTAGGAAATTAAATAGGGACATAGTTAGGGTTAAGAAGTAGTAGATTTCTATTATATTAGCGACTAAATTATAACCGTAGATAGTTAGAATAGACAAATAATCGGCCTCCGCGTAAACCTCTTATTAACTAAGTAGTTAATTACCTTATAGGTCGGTCTATAAGTCTATTATATAATTACTATTTCTTATTATTATTAACTAAATAGTTAACTGCTATCTTAAGACTCTTCTAGCTTAATAGGGTTGTTTTTACTACTAGCGACCTCGCCTTAATAGCGACTAGTTTTCTTTAGAGGCTCGTAGAAATAGCGCTTTCGCTATACTAACTTCTAGCGCTAGCGAGGATCTACTAAGTAAGGCTAAAATATAGTATATATAGTATCTCTATTAAGTAGCGCCTTGTCTTATTATAGCTAGTCGAGTCGAGTATTAGGCTCTTACGCGAATAGGGTATCTAATCGCTACTTAGTCTTAATATCGGTCTATGTTAGTAGGTCGCCTTTATCGTAGTTATAGGTACGGATTAGTAGAGATAATATCCTTATTAGACTCTAGGTATAGGTAATATTACCGCTCTTACTCGTATCGGTAGCTCGCCTATAATAGCTAATATTATTAGTATATAGATTAATAGTCTTCTTTAAAGTAGAGTCGGAGGTTAGAAGGCGCTTATCGAAGACTTGTTATAGTAGCTTATTAATAGACTATAGCTTAATATCTATCTACTTAGTCTTACTACTATTATTATTAAAGATAATATAGAAGGCCTTACTATACTTTAATCGATAAGTACGTACCTTATTATAAGCACTCTCTACCTTATAGAGAATCTTCTAGTATCTATTAGTAGCTATATCCTTATTTTACTAAGTAAGTTATAAGCGTAATTTGTTAGCCTCGATAGTACCTACTCGAATAAGCCGATTAGGCTATTTCTTCTAACGTTTCTTTACTCGCTCGATAGGGCTCGTAGACTAGTATTTACGCTTATATTCCTTACCTTTATAGATAGCCGCGTTAACTAATATATTATATGCCTCTTCTACTACTTTTATAGGTACTAAGGAAAATAGGAATAATAGGTTAAATAATAGTAATAATAGTAATAATAGTAATAATAGTAATAATAGTAATAATAGTAATAATAGTAATAATAGTAATAATAGTAATAATAGTAATAATAGTAATAATAGTAATAATAGTAATAATAGTAATAATAGTAATAATAGTAATAATAGTAATAATAGTAATAATAGTAATAATAGTAATAATAGTAATAATAGTAATAATAGTAATAATAGTAATAATAGTAATAATAGTAATAATAGTAATATACCCTATAGGGCTAGTTTTCGATAAGAGCGTCGGAACTCGGTAGTCCTTATAAGCTTATATAGTAATACGAGACGCCTTAATCGTACAAGTGCTAGTAGCCTAGTAGTAGTATCTAGGAGCTATTATAGCAATTCGGGAGCTAGTATTTGCTAAGGTAGTAATAATAATATACCCTAAGTAATTACTAATTAGGTAACTTTAGGTTCTCGAGTTCCTCGAGATAGTAGTAACCGGTAGCGTAAGACTAGCCTTCTAGATCAATATTAGTAGGCTCTATAGAACGGTATTACTTAACTAACGCGATATAATCCTACTAAGCGGTAGCCGCTAAGCCGCTATTACTAGCAATTCCTCGTATTAGGCCTCTTTCTATACTAATTTACCTTCAATTACTTACTAGTTCTAGTTACGGTTAGTAGCTCTATACAAATCTCGAATATACTTATAAGGGACCTCCCTATTAATTAGGAATATACCTATCTTTCGAAATACTAACCTAATATTATAAGAGGTAAATGCCTTAGCCTAAATAGCTAAGAGCGCCTCTATAAACTTAGATATTCTAAACTCGCTAATACTATAGTATATAGCCTATAATACCGCTTGCCTATACCTTAACTTATATACCTAGAATAGGATTATATCTAAAGTCTACATAAAGTATAAAGTATACGGTTATAGGCCCTATAATTAAATCTTATACCGCTTTATAAAGGCTATAACCTTACTAAAGCAATAGGAGACGTAATTGTCGTATAATAATACCCTCTAGTAGGGCCTCTACTCGTTTAGATCTCTAGGCCTTATCTTTCGCTTAAACTAGCGGATATAATATATTATAGTATTGTCGGTTATATATCTAGACTCGTTAATAGTAATTAAGAAGTTGTTCTTACCTAAGAACGAGAGTATAGTTAGTAGGTATTGTTACCTTAGAAGCGGACTCGGACTCGGAAGTAGTAATAGTAGTAGTAGTAGTAATAGACTTATCTTTCTTCGGTACCTACTATTCTTACTTCTTAGACTATTATACCTTTAACGATTAACTAATAATCTACTACCTTACTAAACGCGTTTACAATCTCGACGATAGTTATATATATATAGTTACTATTATACTCGGTCTAGGCGCGCCGCTTTATATCTATTATAATAATATACTTAGTTTTATTAAAATTCTATATATTCTGCGGCTTTATATTTAGTCGCTTTATTATCGCCTTAAAACGGTTAAACTAGCTTTTTATTATAGAAGGCTCGTAAGCTTTCTTCCGCTATACCTTAATCGGCTTCGAGTTAACCTTACTAAGCCTATAGCGCTTTAGAAAGCGGTCCGCCTAATCTATACTAAATAGCGGTATTATATTCTTCGATATATCTTCTAGTAGTAGACTTACTAGTATATCTATTACTATAACGGTAATTAGCGGTACTAGTAAGAATATATCTATTTTGTCTCCCTCTTAATAATAATCTACTAGCGCTATCTCTTAAGACTCGTCTAATTTAGTATTAGTTAATAGACGACTAAATAGCGACCTATAGCCTTTTAACTACTAGTAGATATAAGAATATAGGCGAGTTACTTTCTTACTTTTATAAAGCGCTCGAATACTAACCTTCTTATTATCCGATTTAGCTACTAATTCGTAGTACTTTAAAACAACGCGATCTACTACCCTCTCTATCCTCTCTACCTCGGTTAACTACTTAGCTTATATCCTTTTTTACTTTTTTACTCTTTTTATACCTTATACTAAGTTTTATATATAATCCGTATAGTAGAATATAAGAAATAGGAGGAATATACGCTTTAGAATAAGGTAGACGCGCCTACTAAGGACTATATAAGAAATAGCGATAGTAAGGTCCTATAGCTACTATATACTTAGATAAACTAGCTAATATAATACTTAGACTCGCCGCTTAATACTATATATACCTAGATATCTATATAGGAGTGGAGCCCATTACTATATCGAGTTTTACGTGTGGCCTACCAAGAAAAAGCGATTTTACGTATGGCCGGAACCCGGAGGAGTGTGACGGAACCCCGGATACTGCATTGATGTCATGCAGCCCGCGCGGCGGCATCACCCGCCGACTTCAGATGCTACGTTACGTTACATTGAACAGCTCAGTTTCTGCTTGCGGTGGATCTGGCTGGCGATGTGCCATTGCCCAGCCCGTATCGATACAGCTGCTCCTCGCCGCCGGCAGCACTGTTTTCCCGCTGCGCTGAGGCTCAAGCGGTGATCGGCCGCCCAGCCTGTCACCAGCGATTGCTATGCAATGATGAAACCTTCCTGGAACCCACTCTCCGGACTACCCTCACACTACCGTATACCGCTGCCTGCATCTGAGACGGACATACACGACATTCCTCCGGCCTCCAATCACCGCGGCTGCTTCGCCTGCTCCTGCTGCTGCTCCTGCTGCTCCTGTTGCGACGTCTCGCGGCCTTCCATCCCATCCTAGCACCCGCCTACAAGGGCTCCCGCCAGCCTACTACCACCATGCGCACGCGTCTTCCACTCTCTGGCCCCTCCATACCAATCCAATCCATCCTAGCCCTCTGGTGCCACGCTCGCTGACACTTCACTTGCCGACCCATCCTCACATGCGTAGACCGAATTTCCGACTATAGAAGCCGATCGACCACCCACAGCTGCATCTTGCATTGACTACTACCACTGCTGCTTGCACTGCACACCATACTGCCTCTCGTTGTCAGCTGATTCCCTCCAACATCCACCCTCATTACTATTCACCACACCGCCGGCGTATGCAACTTCCTTCGCTTTGCCCATATATGACATCAGCAGGTCGCTACTGCATTGCGATTCTGCTTGACCTGTGGGTTGCCAGCAAGCTGGGTAAGGCAATGAGCGTCATGATTCAGTCGGTGGTTCGGCTGGTGCATCCTAAGTCTTCGTATTCGTCCTCCAAAGGACCACGAGTCACTGGGCACCATGGAGTGGAGAAGGAGATTGAAGCGAAGAAGAGCATGGATAACTTCCTCGCCGAGGTGCGCACTCTATTCGAGGCTCCCACACAGACTGAGCGTCTGCTGGAGATATCTGCAAAGCTGCAGGCAGAGTGCAGAGAACGCTTGGCAGAATCGGACATTTCTATGCTGCCGTCATATCTGCACACACTGCCTACTGGCCATGAGCAAGGCGACTTCCTTGCGTTGGATGTAGGAGGCTCAACTTTCCGCATCGCGCTGATCAGGCTCACCGGAAAGACAAAGCCTGGCAGTGATGGTCTTCAGATCAGGAGAATACGAAGCTTCACGATCGATGAGCAGACCCGTGGCCTTGAAGGACAAGCATTCTTTGACTGGATGGCGGACAGGATAGGCGATATGCTTGGGGAGTACAACCACGTCAACGGCACATCAAACGCCACCTTGCCAATGGGACTTGCATGGTCCTTTCCTGTGGAGATGACCTCTCCAAGGACAGGCAAGCTGCGCCAAATGGGAAAAGGATTTCAAGCGACCACGGGCTTGGAGGGCGAAGATCTGAGCGAATTGATCATGAGGTCGTGCGAACGAAGAGGGCTCAACGTGCAGATGCGTGCCATCGTCAATGACGGTGCTGGCACTCTCATATCTCAAGCTTACCGTGACCCGTCAACGCGTCTGTCACTCATTCTTGGAACTGGAACGAATGCCGGCGTCTTTCTTCCTACATCAGCATTGGCATCGCACAAATTTGGCTCGCGACCGGATGCCTGGTTCCAAGATGCAAAACACGTCCTCGTGAACACTGAATTAAGCATGGTCGGCAAAGAGTCTTTGCCTGTCACGAGGTGGGACAACGAGTTGAACGCGAACCACACACTGCCCGACTTTCAACCTCTCGAATACCTTATCACAGGCCGCTACTTGGGCGAGATCGCGCGCCTGATCCTTGTTGAGGCCATCCAAAAGATCGACCTCTTCGGTGGCCGAGTACCGGATCGACTGGACGTCCCATACGCGCTCGATTCCCGCATCATTGCGGCATTTGAAAGCGACACCACTCCAACCTTGGAGAAGGCGAAGGCAGCATTTGTCCAAGCACATCCATCCGTGACAAAGCCTCGATTGAGCGAACTCGAATTCATTCGACAAGTAGCACGGTTGGTGTCAAGACGCGCCGCTGCTTACCTTGCCACAGCTCTTCACGCACTCTGGGTCGTGAAGACGGAATCCGAAGGACTTCAACCGGAAGAGGCGGAACATATCACCGTCGCCTGCAATGGCACTATCGTCGAGAAGTACCCAGGATATCGCGAGCTTTGCCAGCTACATCTTGACGACTTGTGTGAACAATCTGGTGCTGCTCGTGGTGCTGTCACGTTAAGCATGGCTCATGAAAGCTCTATCTTTGGTGCTGCTGTAGCAGTGGCTTGCATGGAAGAAGACGCGTAAGCTCGCAGACAGCAATCTTTACATGATGGCCACCTACCACTCTTGGAGGAAAGAGCATACACGTATAGTCACCATATACCACTACTCAGCATTAAATGGAAGCAGCGTTAAGCGACATGGCGTTTGGCGCAAGGAAGGATGATACCCGCTTGGCCACGACCAGCGAAGGAAGGATATGACTTGACCGGTTTTGGAAAGGCATGCAGTTGGCCTCATCAAACGAGGCTGGGACCAGCGGCTACAGCATAGAGATGTGTCTGAAAAAGGGGAGGAGCATGGATTGAATCGAGCGATGCGATGTAGCATCAATTTCTTCACCACCGTCGAAAATATGCAGCTCATTCAACCACGTTGCCGTTACTCCCGTGGTGGTGCAAGAAACGGAAATTTGGAAGGGCTTCTTGGAATCCTACGGTAGCATCGCGCGCAGCGCATGTAGTACTGAGCTTCTCTTCTTGGCTTTTATTTTAGCTTCTTATGGAAACAATGGAATTGTGATGTGATCAAGCGAGATTGAAGTTTTTTTTACGGACTTGTATTGTTGCCGTGACCGTATATGTTGTTTTTACTTACGTGAGGGATTCACTTTTGGCATAACGGCTTGTGGGTGTATGTACCGGCATTAGATTATAATGAAATTCTTTTTGAGAGCCTACCCTTTTATCGAGGTAAGTAGGTATGTCTTTGCTTCCTCTAAACTTCCACGGCATCATTATTATTCGCACGAAACGAAACGAAACGAAACTCCATTCCCTACTACTTTATTTTATACTAGCTTGCTTGCTCCTTATATACAACCCCCCCCCTCTAGGGTTATCGAAATGCCTTATTAAACACCCCTTATTAAATGCGGGCATTAATTCAATCGCAACTTAGTCTAGGGACTAGGACGACGACGACGGCATTACAGCTGTCTAAACGTAGAGAGAGAGAGAGAAAAAAAAAAGAAGATATATAACTACTACTATTATAACCTCCCTACCTCCTCCTCCTCCTAGCCGGAACAACCTCCCTCTTATTATCCTAAACCACCTCGAACGCGGAGCGGTCCTTATCAATCGAGAATGGAGTATAGGGCGGCGCCGAAATTCTCCGTATACAAACTTTACCTTACTGCCACACACTTCTGTGCGCGTTTGAATAATGAAGCTTTTGTAGACTCTTCGTTCAAAGCTGAGGGAAATCGGACGTTGAGGTAGTTTGATGGGAGGTGGGGGCGGCGAGGGTTAGTAGGAGGAAGATGAGGGAGGGGGTTGAGGTTGAGGTGAGTGAGTTAGATTTGTGGGTAGGATTGGTACTGATGTTTGTGTGATGGTGAGAAAAAGTAGGGGAAGAGATTAGTCTCTATTATTATAAGACAAGCTTGATGATGAGGATAATAGCGTAACGGCGATTTTCGAAGATGGGAAGTGAAGCTACCGGAACGATTTTCATCGGCTGTGACGGAGGGAGATCGACAGTACGGAGATTACTACTTGTAGGTGAAGAGAAGGCTCAATCGAAAGATTTGGGGATTTCGGTTATGAACTTCACGCTGCGTTTCAAGGCCGACATGGCGAGGAAGATACATGCACAACATCCGATCGCTTTCAACACGTATCATCCGAAAAAATTGGATGTTTTGGGGTTCGACGGTCGATGTACCACAACCCGAGGATCCGGAACGTTGGCTCATCCAGCTTATGTTTTTCTGGAAGCCGGGGAATGAGAATCTGAGTGATCAAGCGTCTCGTACCGCATTTCTCAGATTTAAAGCGGAAGAGTATGTCGAGCCGTGGCGAAGTATTTTGAATGCTATCCCGGATGATGCATGTTTTGGCATCGATCATATTCATGAGTGGGAGCCATTCGATTGGTCTTCATCGCCGCTCGCGGACCGAGTCACGTTGGCGGGTGGTGCAGCTCATAATATGGCGCCTCACCGAGGTCAGGGCTTGAACGTCGGTCTCCAAGATGCTGCCGTATTGGGCGAGTTGCTTTCGACTGCAAAGCCCACACCCGAAAAGTCTGCGTGCAGTTTTGAGAGCGTACGAGGCAGGAATGGTTCCGCGAAGGAGCCGCGAAGTGCAAATCTCTGCTAAAGCGGCATCGCTGGCGCACAATTTCGAAATGTTGAAAGATGCGCTGTTGGCCAGATTTGGGGTGCGAAAGGTCGCGGAATGAGGTCTTCCCATTTTCGCTGGGGCTTGCTAGAATTTCTTCAAGCGTATAGCAAATGTTCTGTAAAGCTGTTAGCATAGTTCTCCCTGTCCTTGTGAGTAGTATGCCACGAGCAAATAGACTGACTTCGTGATTTCGCGCTTGCAGTCGGATCTCTTGGGTCTGTGGGCAGTTTCGTATGATGCACAACGTGCGGTCGGTAGACTGCATCGACCGGCGGCATCCAGTCATCTAGAGAAAGCGGAAAGTATTCATATAGCAGATCTGCACTCTCGTCCGGACTGTTGATGGTGTTCAGCGAAAATGACGGAGGCCTTGGTGGTATTGTTATCCGTTTCGCTGACCGCTGTTCTGGTGGTGTGGCACTACTTCCCGGCTTTGGTGAATCGTCTTCTACGAGAGACAGATTGATTGGGGCAGGAGGTGGGCCCATGAGCTTTGGCTCTGTAGACTTGTTGTTTCGGCCTGGTGAAGATATCGGGTATATCTCACCTGGGAGAGGCGGACTCTTCAATGGTGGTTCAACAGCAGCCGAGGCGTCTTGAGCTCCCGCATCTGCTTGGCCCCAGCTGTTGTTGTACGTCTCCTTTGGTGCAATACCTTCATTCTCGTTGAAAGAGTACGTAGATATTGGCGGTGCTGGACCTTCGGTCTTCACGGGCGGTGCTGATGTCGGCCCATCATTCTTGGGCTTTTCGCCTCCATGGACGGTAGTAGCGGAACGGGTCATGTTCGAAGCTTTCCGGACATGGCCGCCTCCGTTCAAAGGAAGATCTTTGCGCGACTGGAAATTGCGCGGGCTTCTACCCCGAACGATGATTGCACCCGATGCGACCTCGCAGATGGGTATCTTTCCTCCAGTAGCTAGAGTTGCGAGAACTTTCAAGCGTACTACGAAGTGCTGCTGCAGCTCTTTCCTTCTTCCATTATTGGCAGTCGCTATTCGGAACTGCAGTCGCTTCCACTGGAATGGGAAGCTGGCAAAGTCGCTGCTCAGCTCTTGAACATTCATGAGATCCAGAGGTATTGACGAAGGCTCTCGCTCCACTTTGTCTTCTTGCACCGGCACATTTGGACTCACTGGAGTCTTCCACGGTACGGATATGATCTTGACAGAATTGCCCTCTGTAGACTCTGTTGCATTGATGACTAGCTCTTGCCCAATGATTGGTATCTGCTCTCCTTGCTCTGTCATGATATAGCGTAATGTTCTCGGCAGGGTAATTTCTCCGGTGATCTGGAACAGATTGCGTCTGTAGCATGTGAGTTCTGAAGGAGGTGGGTTCGCATCGCCCGCAGATGCCCATGGCGATTCTGCCAAGAAGAACATGCCATGGAGCTGCGCTGCCAGCGATATTGTTGTCCTTCGATATGTGTAGTCGAGCAAGGCATAGTCGAGTACTGGCGGCGAGAAGCTGAGTAGCTTGTTATCTCGATCGATGGACGGCGACTCCGGCTCGTGTTGGTCCTGGTGTAGCGGAGCATCAAATGCGCTCACCACATCGGAGAAGGGATCCTCATAGGCACTCGCGAAGCGTTTGAGCGGCGGTGGGCCTGGCAAGCCGTGAAGATGGAGCTCCTCGCTACTGTTTGCGGAGCCCAGTCAGCAAGACCTAATAATATGACACAGCTGCTCGTCCACGAGTGAATGTTCCGACAAGTCTCAACCAAGAAAAGGCGCCACATACCCAGCGTATCCTCCATAGGCAGAGTGGTGCTCACTAAAGTCAGTTGGTAGGAGCATCTCCTGGAACGGATCCTGGCCACTCCCCGTGTTTGGGTGCTGCATCTGGGTGGCCAGGTAGGTCATGGTCGACGGATCGAAGCCTGAGAGATCCATATTTGCGATGTCGCATCAACACGCACCTGGAGGGAGGAAGGATGTAACGCTAGAAGTTCGCATGAGACAGTCGAGTGTCGAGCTTCAGACCTGCTCTACTACGCAGCTACAGTCGTTGCGCGGCGGCTGCGGATGGGCAAAGACGATATATAGAGATGAGGCTCAGGAAGCTGAGCGGATGGTAACGTTCGTTATTGGTATGGTCGTTGCCCGAGCGTCCGGAAATGAACGCTGTGCAGCTCTTGTGCTACTGCCGTGGCCGCCCGGTTTCAGTGAAGATGGTGGATGCTCTGCGAACACATGGAGACGATCGGCCTCTACGCGGAACCATGCGACTCTGCGCTGTTATCACTGCACTGCCCTCCTCCACAGACGACTTCTGAGGATCTATGCACAAGTGCCGTCGCTGGCCGTCGATGGTCTAGCCCCGTCAAGCATGGTGGAGGTGCCCCCGCCCATGGCCTATCAAGCTCGACCACTTGGGTGGAGCCGGGATGGTATGGCGTGGTCTCTGCATGTAGAATGTTCTAAATAATGTAGGATGGGATGACGTCTATGCATATGAATGAATGAATGAATGAATGAATGTCTTGTCTTGCTCCGTGAACATCGTGCATCATGGACACATGTCCGATCGTTTGTGTCGTTGCGATCGATAGAGCTCTCACCACGACTGCTCAGCAACGACCAGGGCGGTATTATTATTCTAGAAAGAGATTCACTTCTGCCATGGGAGTGGCATGGATTCAATGTTGCTCTTGGTGTCCGTGCCTCCATGGATCTGGATTCTAGAAATTCCCCAAGAGCAAGGGCAAGGGCAAGGACAAGAGCAGCGGCGGCGGCGGCGGAAGTCTGATCGAAACGTGAGTATCCGGGGTTGCGTCAGCCCACTTCACCCCTCGCCCTAGCTCGGGGAATTAAACTATACGTAAAATCGCACTTTCCTAGTAAGCTATACGTAAAAGTCGATAACGGCGATGTTATAGAGCACATATAATAGGAAACTGAATATAAGTACGATAAGGGTTAAGAGACAGTAGATTTCCGGTATATTAGCGACTAAATTGCGACCGTAGGACCTCAATCCGGCCTCTTAGTAAACCTCGAGTCTACTATATAATCAACCACTTTACTAGTCGGCCTATATATCTATTATGTAACTACTATCTCTTCTTACTAAGTAAATAGCCTATTACTATTATATCTACTATCTATACTGTCTACCTTTTCTAGCTTAATTAGGTTGTTCTTGCTACTAGCAATAGCGCTATTATAACGGCTAGATTTCTTCGGAGGCTCGTAGAAGTAGCGCTTGCTTTATATGGACTCGTAGCGGCGGCGAGGAGGTACTAAATAAGGCTAGATTACAGTGTATATAGTATCTTTATTAAGTAGCGCTTCGTCTTATTATAGCTAGTCTAACCGAGTATTAGGTTCTTGCGCGAATAGGCTATTTAGTCGTCGCTTCGACTTAACGGTCTATACTGCAATATCGTCTTTATAGTCGTAGGTACGAGTCGGTAGTAATAACGTACTTATTAGTAACTAAGTGTAAGTAATATCGCCGCTCTCGGTAGTATTAGTATACCGCCTATAGAAGTAGATAACGTTAGCGTACGGATCGCTAGTTTTCTTTAATATAAGGTTGTTATCGGTAGCGAGAAGTCGTAGGTTAAAGACTCGTCGTAGCGGCTTATCGATAGACTAGAGCTTAACGTCTATCTACTTAGTCTTACTATTGTTATTAAATACTACTCGGAAGGCTTTACTATACTTAAGTCGATAGGTACGTGCTTTATTATAAGTATTCTCTGCCTCCTAGAGCATCTTCCGGCGGTCGTTATTAGCTAGGTCCTTATCCTATTAAGTAAGTTACAAGCGCAATTTATCGGCCTCGATAGTACCTACTCTTATAAGCCGATTAGGCTGCTCCTTCTATCGCTTCTTTGTGCGTTTAACGATGCTTATAGACTAATATTTACGCTTGTATTCTTCGCCTTTATAAATAGCTATATTAACTAACAACTCGTATACCCTCTCTATATCCTTTATAGGTAAAGAGGAAAATAGGTTAAATATATAGTCGATACCGAGTAGGGTTGGCTTTAGATGCGAGCGTCGAAAGTCCTTGCGAGCTTATATAGTACTACGAGACGCCTTAATCGTATAAGGGCTAGTCGTAGTATTTAGAAGCTATTGCGGTAATTCGGGGGTAGGGGTCCGGATTCGCTAAGGAGGTAACGACGGCATACCTTAAGCAATTATGTTCTCGAGATCCTCTAGGTAGTAACGATTATTAGCGCGAAATAGGCTATCTAGATCGATAATAGTAGGCTCGGCGGAACAGCCTTACTCGACCGAGGCGATGTGTTTCTACTAAGCAATCTCTGCTATCGCTAGCGATTCTATATACTAGGTTTCCTCCTATACTAATTCGCCCTTAATTACCTGCTAGTTCTAATTCTAGTCTATAGCACTATACTAATCTCGAATGTGCTTATAAGGCACCTCCCTATTCGTTAGGAATATACCTGTCTTACGGAATGCCGACCGTACGTTATAGTTAGTAAATGTCTTCGCTCGAATAGATGCTAGTGCCTCTATAAACTTAGATATACCAAACTCGCTAACGCTACAGTATGTAGCTTCTAAAACCGCCTATCTATGCCTTAACTTATATACTTAGAATAATATAACGTCTAGAGGCTATATAAAGTGCGAAGTATATAGTTATAGGCCCTATAATTGAATCCTATATCGCTTCGCAAAGGCCGCGAATTCCTTAAAGCAGTAAGAGCCGTAATTATCGTATAGAAGCACCCTCTATTCGTTTAGATCCTTAGGCCTTGTCTTGCGCTTAAACTAGCGGATATAATATATAGTAGTATTATCTGTTATATAGCTAGACTCGTTAACAGTAATTAAGAAGTTGTCTTTGCCTATTATTATTAGTAGGTAACGTTGCTAGTAGTAACGTTGTTCTTGCCTAAGGTAATCTACGAGACTAACCTTGCAAAGGAATCTACCTCTCTTAAACTATTACCGCTTTAATAATCAACTAATAGTCTATTACTATACTATAGGCATTAATAGTCTCGACGACGGTTATATACGTCCGGTTGCTATTACACTCGGTCTAGGCGCGGCGCTTAGTGTCTATTATAACGATATACTCGTTGCTACTAATTCTAACTCGGAAACTAGTCTTATCGAAATTCTATAGGTTCTACGGCTTTACCTTTAGTCGTAACAATATCGCCTTAAACCGGTTAAACTAGCCTCTTATTATAGAAGGGTCGTAAGCCTCCTTACGCTAAACCTTAATCGGTTTAGACTTAACTTTGCTAAGTCTATAGCGCTTAAGAAACCTATCCGCCTAGTCTACTCTAAACGGCGCGATTGTGTCTCTTAATACATAATCTGGTAGCAGACTCGCTAGCATATCTATCGCTACTATAACGATTAGCGCTACTAGCAAGAATATACCTATTGCGTCTCTTTCTCGACAATAATCCGCTAGCGCTAGCTCCTACGACTAGTCTAGTTTAGTATTAGTTACCGGTCGATCTAGTAGTAATCTACGACCCCTAATCCGCTAGTATATACGTAAATATAGGTTAGTTGCCTTCTTACTCTTATAAAGCGCTCGAAGGCTAATTTTAACTAATAAGATAGCCTCTAACTCGCGGTATTTCGCAATAACGCGGTCTACTACCCTCTCCGCCCTCTCTGTCTTAGTTAACCGCTCGGCGCGCACCCTCCTTTTTACATTTCCGACCTTCTTACGCCCTATACCGAATTTTCTATACGATACGTATAGTAGAATAGAAGGAATAAGAGAAATAGGGGGAGTACGAGGAATACGCGTTTTAGAATAAGGTAGACGCGCCTGCTAAGCGATTATATAAGGAAATAGCGGTAGCGAGGTCTATAACTACTACCTACTCGGACACGGTTATATATATAATATTTGGACTCGCGGTTTTATACTGCATATAACTAGACATCCGAATAGGACCGGAAACTACTATTTATCGAGTTTTACGTATAGTCTACTAATAAAGTGCGATTTTACGTATAGCTAGAAACCCCGCGATTAGCGGGCGTAAAGTGTGTAACGGAACCCTAGATATGTCGTTAATTACGATAATTGACTACGATAATTCTATATGCTGCCTCGCGAGGAAGTAGGAACAAGCACATTATAGACTTAATACCTTGCTACGGTACCTTTCTCCGGCTATTAGCAGATTTCATGCTCTCGCTCAAATCTAATACAAGCACCTCGAATATCTAGAACCTGCTCTAGACGCGAACACCTTCCCGAACCTTGCCTTCTAATACACTAATATATGCGAGCTTTCTAAACATCCTGTCGGCTGTTAGCCGTACGCTTTTCTAAAGCGGATTAGATCTATACGGCGACAAGGGATCGACATATAGCATTTACCTCTATTCAGGCTCGTAGGCATAAAGAATTGAGTTGCGTAAATGTAATAAATAGGGATTATATTGCGACCGAGTGCACGTAATAGATTAGCAACTACATTAGGGCTAGCTTCCGAACCTACCGACAACCAATTACGAGCACTCTACCTAATTCTTCGCCTACGAGCCTAATATAAACCCGTACGAAACTAGCCTACTAAATACTAATATAATACTATAACGTATATAAGACATTCTAAATAGTAGAGGTTATACCCCTACTAATTACGCTTTATTCTACCTATTAAATAAGTCTATACAACGTTAGTACGTTAAGTTTTCGCTATTCTACTAAGCCGACTCGACTATAGATTCTAGATTACTAGGCGGCTAGCTATACTACTAGAAACACCTTAATATATAATATATACTATTAGTAGGCGATAGCGAGGTACGATAAGGCAAATACTCTATAAGTGTTTAAAGTACTCTCTAGACCCTTCGTTAGGCCTAGGCGAGTCTAAGAACGTACTAGATAACAGAATTACTACGTATAAAGGTATATATATACTAGTAATAGCGTATAGCCCTTAGTAGTAAGATAAAAGCAAAGGGTTAAGAATATAGATATTCTAAAAGTCGCCGGTCGGAGATACGAGCGGCGGTTAATCTAAGGGTCCGCTCGTAATTTACTTAGCGTTTTATATACTGTTTATATATAACTTATTATCGTATAATAGCACCCTCTACTTATTTAGATATTTAGGCCTCGTCTTTCGCTTAAACTAGCGAATATAATATATTATAGTATCGTCGGTTATACACTAAGACTCGTTAATAGTAATTAAGAAGTTATCCTTGCCTAAGAACAAGAGTATAGTTAATAGGTATCGTTACTTCGGAAGCGGACTCGGACTCGGAAGTAGTAATAGTAGTAGTAGTAGTAGTAATAGACTTACCTTCCTTCGGTACCTACTATTCTTAGCCTATTATACCTTTAACAATTAACTAATAGTCTACTACCTTACTAAACGCGTTTACGGTCTCGACGATAGTTATATACGTACGGTTACTATAATACTCGGTCTAGGCGCGCCGCTTTCAAGTTGTATCTATTATAACGATATACTCGTTACTACTAATTCTAATCCGGAAGCTAGTTTTATTAAAACTCTATATATTCGGCGGCTTTATATCTAGTCGCTTTATTATCGCCTTAAACCGGTTAAACTAGCTCCTTATCGTAGAAGGGTCGTAAGCTTCCTTCCGCTATATTTTAATCGGTTTAGACTTAGCCTTACTAAGTCTATAGCGCTTTAGAAAGCGGTCCGCCTAGTCTACGCTAAATAGCGGTATTATATCCTTCGATATACCTTCTACTATCTAGTAGTAGGCTTACTAGTATATCTATCGCTATAACGGTAATTAGCGGCACTAGTAAGAATATATCTATTTCGTCCCTCTTTTAATAATAATCCGCTAGCGCTATCTCTTAAGACTCGTCTAATTTAGTATTAGTTAATAGACGACTAAATAGCGACCTACGGCCTCTTAACCGCTAGTAGATACGAGAATATAGGCGAGTTGCTTTCTTACTCTTATAGAGCGCTCGAATACTAATTTTCTTATTTTTCGATTTAGCTACTAATTCGTAGTACCTCGAAATAACGCGATCTACTACCCTCTCTACCCCCTCTGCCTCGGTCAACCGCTCGGCTAGTACCCTCTTTATATTTTTATCCTTATTACGCCCTATACTAAGTTCTAAATACGATCCGTATAGTAGAATATAAGAAATAGGAGGAATATACGCTTTAGAATAAGGTAGACGCGCCTACTAAGGATTATATAAGAAATAGCGATAGTAAGGTCTTATAGCTACTATATACTCGGATAAACTAGCTAATATAATACCTAGACTCGCGGTTTAATACTATATAGACCTAGATATCTATATAGGACTAGAACCTACTACTATGTCGAGTTTTACGTATAGCCTACTAAGAAAAAGCGATTTTACGTATAGCCGGAACCCCCGCGAATAGCGGGGAGGAGTGTGTAACGGAACCCCGGATACAATGTTCTGAGGGGAACTGATAATCCACTTCAAAAAGCAGCACTTACATGCGCATGTGCCCTCGATACACGTGTTGGTCGAAACCGGCTGACTCTGTACAGCTAGCTACTTCACATGCTATATACACGGCTATCTTCGGGATTCGGATACATTGAGAGCACATGCAGGCTGCATGTGCTCGGCTCTTCGACTATGCCGAATGCGCAAGACAAAAACATCATCTTCTAACCAGGTTGCTCTTCTTCTTCTCAACATCCACCACCGACTCTTCCCACATTGTGGGTCTGTTGCCTCTCATCTATCCTAAGTTGATGACTTGGTCTAGGAGAGGGGTAGCAACATAGACTTGCAAGTTATGCATTTCTATTCCAACATGGGTTCGAAAGTGGGTGGAACACGAGCTCGAGCAAATACAGCATCGAGGGGCAACCGTCACAAGGCATTTGATGTCTGCGCGAGGCAAGTGCTCTTCTTTTAGCGTGCAATGCTGACTGGAACTCTCCTTAGCAGCTTGGGGGCGCAGGCAAATCACCAGAAAGCTTTGAGGCAAGTTCATTATGCGACTACCATGGCATCGAACAGGATCAAGAGCATCATCGACAGAGAGATAGAAAGTCCTTCCCAGGTATGAGCTGGCAACAACTCTGCATCTCGGATTTTGGCAGCAAACACACTTCAAATACATCCAAAGCCAAATTCTCATACAGTAAGAATGAACCCAACATCCCACCCCAAAACTTCCGGATGGATTCTGATCGACGCACCAGAAATCACCACCCTCCATCTATCTATCTATCTATCTCCTCCTCCACCGAACCCTCCTCACCATCCCCAACCTATCCATCTCCGCCCCAATCCCCCAAACATACACTCTCTTCCCACAACTCCCACAGATCGCTCGGGTAACATCCATCAAACCCAGGAACCTCTCTCCCCTCTCCGTGATTCCGCCGTGGGCCAGAGCCGAGTTATTAAAATGTACTCCATAAGTCGGGCAGCTGGAAGATCCGGTAGAAGTTCCAGGGCAAGGAGTTTTGATGCCGCCGCAGGCTCTGCAGTGGGGACAAATGATTCGGGTGAGGATGCACATTGTTGGGGGGGGGGGGGGGGGGATCCGATATGTATGGGGCGGGAGGGTGGGAGTACTAGAGTTGATCGGTGTTCTTATGCGATCTCAGATGAGGACTGAGCGCTTCGGATCGACGTTTTTTTTTCCTCTGCTGAGGACAATGAAGCTTTCTTTCGATCGATTTTGGGAGCTGGGCCGTCGCGTTGAGGGTTCACCAGCTCTATATTGACTCACGGGTTGCCTCCTCCATCATGGAAGCATGTCAGTTGAGACAAGTAATTGTATTGAAGAGTGGTAGTGGCGGACGCATGTCATTTGCTCTTCGGGTTTGCTTGCTCCGTGTCTTGATGTCCATGGGAGCGTGATCGGCAAGACAAGTTCGCAGCTGTTGCGTGCACTTTGTGACGCCAGATGGGGAGAGCTTCCTCATGGGGTCCAGGTAGGATTATACAGTCATGGGATAGAATGCCAGATTGTATGTAGATTGAAAAAGCCTGTGCATGATTTTCAGCTTATTGTGGTCTTGCTTCCGCCACTCTCTTGAAGCAGATAGTGGAAAGAAAGATTGATATATCGAGAGCTCTAAAGGTGTCAGGAAGGTCGATAATATCCAGGAGCAAACATCATAAGGTAGTCATCTCCACAGAATTGCTCGGTAATCGTTTTGCCAATGACATTCTTTCCAGTGACAATGATCATACACGAGACGGTCCCGCCACTGATAAGGGAGTGAATTCGGCGGCATAGAGTACGAATCCAGGTTTTCCATGCGAGACCCCTAAACTGTCGAGTTGAGAATCCGAATCCAAGTGCGGCCATATTGCTGACAGTTCAGCCTAGTAGGGCATCGATAGACCGGTGAGTGAAAGGTGGAATGCTGAAAACTGTTTAGCTGAATGCGCCCATGATGTAGACTCAGCCGCGGCGCTTAGGCAAAGGCTCGAGGCAGAGCTTGCTATTTGGGTACACCGTGGCTGAGCGCAGTTCTCATGCTCGCTATATGATCTTGTGTTGGCAGCAGGTAGTGCTTCACTAAAGGCTTGTGGGCCAACATACATTGAAATTTGCTGCCGAAGAACGAACGCTCTTACCGAATGTGATAAGCAAAAAGAGGGACTGGACATGAAAGGCATTAATATCGTGAATCTTGCGCTATAAATCTCAACATCAATGACGCCGTGCCGGCGAGGAGGGCCGACTATTGATAGGCGATACAGCAGAAACCGGCGAGACAGGTGAGACGGGCGAGCCGCCGCCAGCAGGTGAGAGGTCGCGAGAATGAGGCGTAGATACACCGCCCGCAGCTGAAGGGATCGCGAGCGCCAGAGGTGCATTTGTGAAACTTCGGTTAAGGTGTGCCTCAGGTTGCAGAGGTGTAATTGGGCTTTGACCTTGACCCACTGGTGTCTGGAAGACGTTGTGAGGCGGCTCAAACTCCTCGCTGGCACGATCATCGACTTCTTCCACGGCTTCTCGATCATCTTCGACAGGCTGGTGGTCGCGCTCGCGCTCGTACTGTGAATATCGGGGTGGTTCGTAGTTAGGCGGCTCCTGGTATTCCTTCGATGTTTCTCGTACAGCAGCAACTCCTGTAGTAGTTGGATAGGGCGCCTCAACCATCGAAAGATCGGATTGGGCATGCGCGTATTTGCCTCCCATAGCTGCCCGTCTTTGCCTCCGTCTTCGAGCTAGGCAGAATAGGACGATAGCTGCGATGAGTACTGCCAAGCCGACTCCCAAGCCAACACCGAGGCCAATCTTGCTTCCTTGACTTATACTACCATTGTTGTTGGACTCCTTCACACTGGTCGGCGTTGCGCCAGCTAGGCCATCCGCTGAAGAGGAACCTGATGTGCTCTGGTTTCCTGTCGTCGTTGCCAAAGTGGCTGTAGCACCTCCGTCGGACGCAATGGTTGCTGGGGCACCATCTACAGACAGGGAGGCTTGAGATGAAGCGAGAACGTCTGCACACGAAATCAGCTGGAATTAATCAACGACAATAATATTGTGATACCTGATGCTGGCCCAGCTGTTGCTGTTGCTGTAGCAGTCGCATCTGCTGGGCTAGGCGTAGTGCTATCGCTCGTAGACGTAGCCGTAGCTGTAGCCGCTTGGTCCGCGCTGCTCTGGATGCTGCTCGACACACTTGCTCGACAGGATGTGTCTGGTCCGCAGCGCATGATTGCGGCGATCTGCTCTGGACTGGCTGCAGCGGTTTGTCTTGGACGAAGGCCTTTTGCATCTCTTCTGAGCAATTCGTGTATGCTCTCTTGACACAGACAAGAGTGCTCTTTCAACATGTATTCCAGCCCACTTCCTTGTGTAGCACAGTACGCCCTACACTCTTCCACCCTGCTATACCCATCGATCTGCTTGACATGTGCTCTTGCCTCGCTCGCCAAACCGTCCATCCTGTCACGTAGAGCCTGCCAGAGATCCGCCATGCCGGATAACTTTTGCTCAAGAGCACGGATCGAGAAAGAAGAAGACGACCAGACGCATCGGTGACTGCAGAGCGCCCGACTAAAGCGCTCGGTAAACGCTCCGGGGCTGAGCTCATTGCGTCGTGAATCCTAGTCGTGTCAGCCGCAATCATCATATGCAGTACGAAGGAATAAAGATAGCATTTTTGCAGATCAACGGTTAGAATAGCCAAGGCCGATGGTGCTAACGCTCGCACTGCATCTGAGGCAGCGGAGCCTACTCATGGTTTGCGCCCGCATACAGCAACAATGCGTTGATTTCGGCGCGAAGGTGTGATGAGGCCTGATTTGAGCACGCAGTATGCAAGTCGGCTTATTCACTTACTGTAGTTCTACCAGCAAGGGTTCGGGGTCGGGCTTGGCGGCGGACGCTGAAGTAAGGTTCTATTCTGGGATGCTGCGTGAATCTTCACCTCCGCTTTCCGAGTTACAGGAATACTTCGTCTGTTATTTTACAAACAAAGAACAACGCAACCTACGAGGCCTTGGAGAGCCGAACTATGTTTTGCTCGTCTTGTGCTCATACTCCTTCATCCGCTCGGCAACCGTCGTGCCATTCCACTCGGACTTCGAAGTCCGACGGCCGCTAGAATGATGCTTGGTGGGAAGGCCGATTTGTTCGACGGCGAAAGACGCAGCCACGCTCGCTTTGGCAGTAGCTTCGACGGCATCACCGCCATTCTGCTGGAACTCGACAGCAAATGCACCCAGGAATGCACTGCCGGCCCCGGTTGCGTCCTTGATGCGATGCTGATCGTCACCAGAGTAGTAGGGAACCACCCAGGTCATGTCAACCGTATCCTGCAACTCGTCGCCAGACGTCGTTCTTCGCGCGACCAAGCTACCATGCTCGGCTGCCCTGATGATCACCAACTGGTGTGGTCCAAAGGCGTGGAAGTGTTCTTCCATGAACGCTGCGGCGCAACCTGTTATTGTCATACAATCCGGCCGGTCAGCTCATGTTTCGGACTGGACGTGCCGGTGCAGCTGACTGACCTTCGACGTGCTCTCTGCCGACATCAGCGGGTGGCAGCGGACCTTGCTGTTTGAGCCGACCACACAAAGCATCAAGCTCTTGATGATTCGGCGAAAAGACATCGACAAGCTTGCTGGCTTCGACATGAGCAGCCAGACTGTTTGGGCGACAATGCATGGGCGCCGGCTCCCACGCGAGAAAAGGCCGCGTGGTGATTCCCGCCTCCTTGCGTGCTTCCAATAAGTCCTTGACCTGCAGCGTCAACTGGTCGGGGCTGGCAACAAAATGAAACGCCGAAGCTCGCAAAAAGCGCAAAGGTAAGTCCTTCGCGGTTGGCTGAAGGGGAGGAGTCAAGAACCCAAACGTCTTGCCTGTGTTCTGGAATTGAGCTTCAAATTCTATGAATGCCGAAATTTTGCACGGCTTCTGTTCGTACTTACTTGCAAAACCTTGATCGTGGTATTGCAATTTGCCTCGCGTGGAAACTCGTCCCTCGGAATTCTGGATCTCGAGATCAACTCCCCAGCTTTCTATTTCCTTCGTTGCTTCTTGGGGAAAGTCATGGCCGGCCAGCAAGAAGCAGCATATACGATGTACGTCTGCTTCGTCCACGGCGAGACAGGCCCCGACGGTGCTGTATGGCATGGATCCTCCAACCACATTTGGCAATACTTGGCCATCTGGAAGATGTACTTCATCCAATACTACCATTCCCATCGAAACAAACAGCGGTACATCATGATCGTGAGCCGCCATTAGGCATTACTTTCCTAACGAGTTCATGCAACGATGAAGACACAAGAGAGAGAATGAAAGATTACAAAAAGGAAACCCTTTTCCAACACTTCCAACTTCCGCTCCATCAAACACCACGACAATCCATCGACGGTCTCCAAAAGATCTTCGCCTCGCATCCAGTACACAAACTACCCGGGCATATGGAGATCGCAGCACAGAGTCTTGGCGAGCCCTGCAGGAGCTGAAACGCCGGAACAGGCAACTCTAACGGACGATACACGTCTCAGCCTGGTGGCTTGGCGAATTGATCTGCTCTTCTCCCGAGGTCTGGACCTGAGAAGATGCCACATACCCGGATGTCGGTCACGACTGGAACGGAGATCTTTCTGAGTGGATCGAACTGGTGGATGGGCATCCAGTCGGCGTTGATGGGGGAGGATTTGCCGTTTGTGCAGATGCTGGCGCTGAAGTTGATGGTAGTAGTATGTACTGTACAGTATTGTGGGACGTGGTGCGATTGGCAAGGCTACGAATTGTGATGTCGCTGTTGCTTTGGGGAAATGGCAAGCTCCAGAGGCTGAGAAGATTGCTGTGGAGATCCGCTGGCTCGCGGCAATAGTTGTGCGGCTCAGCTTGTTGCGACTGCTGGGGTCTAGGAGACATGCACGAGACTACTTATTATATTTGTGCTTTTGCAGGATAAGAATGATATGTACCATGTTGTGTAAAAGACTTGGGGGGGGGGGACTTAGTTCGGGACAACAAAATTTCGCTATGGACATGGAGAGCAGATGTGCTTCAACGCCGTGACGAGCTGAACACCATCCGAAGTGGAGCACGATCTCAACAGGTTGACCCAAACCAGCTTTACTGTCCAATGTAGCAACATGCCAAGCCCCCTCCAGGGCTCACTTCTTGCTCAAGACGGCTGTGCGTCGGACAAGAAGTTGGGAGCACACCGCCTACTGAAGCATAAGTGCTATACCTGACTCTCTTTTCGCCCAGCGCTTTGTACCTCAAACGAACCATTCCAGTCTGTGCTTTTGCATCGTCCATGCAACTGCACCAATATGGTGGTGCCTTGCCTAGATTCCCAGCAGAAGGTGGCGCTGCAGCTTGGCACACCTTCCATAGCTGGTTGACATACTCCTTGTCGTTGCCTCCGCCCAAATCATGATAGGAGCTGTCTCGCACCTCGTTCCTCTGAACTCGGTCTTTCCATTTTTTCTTCTCTTGATCGATGAGAGATTTCATGAAAGGTACACTGGGGATGAGAAGACGGCCTTTGAATGCCCGAGCTATCAACGCACTTTGTGCCTCGGCAATGATGAAAGATAGACCTCCCTTTGGCAAGCCCAGAAACGCGAGGGTTGGATCGGGACGGTAGATAGTGTGTTGGTATACCTCAGCAACCATGAAGCCCTCATCGAGGAGCGGAGCGCCATTGGGTGTCTTGATGAAATCGAAATTGTACTTGTATCCGGTGCAGAAAAGGATCTTATCGACTCCCGTAAACACACCTCCAGGTTTGTTACTATCAGACTTGTCGCCGCTCTTAAAGATGGCAGTGCGGCTGGGGGCATCCAGGTGAGCAATTTCGGGCAGCCCAAGATGTACGCCTGGCGCCAATGCTTGGTCCGGACGGCTTGTGGAGAGGACGAGTGACTTGGCGACTTTGGCGATCTTTGAAGAGATGTCGAAACCCGAAGGGCCGTATCCGATCATGAGTACATTCTACGAACACGTTAAAACCAGTCTCAAAGAAAAAAGATCTAGTTGATTTGCCTTTTTGCGAAAGTCGTTAGGATTTTCATAGAAGAGTGCATGCGACACAGAATCCGGGTGAGTGTCTCGCCACTCGTTGAGTCCTGGGTAGAATGGAAAGAATGGGGTCTGGTAATTTCCCACGGCAACCACGACGAAGTCAGAGTGAAGGTTCTCATACTGTGGGACCTCTGATTGAAGACTTTCAATGGTGGTCTTCCATTTCTCGTTGTAGTCCTGCTGACACTTCTTCACCTCCACAACAGCGGCATTGTATTGGATGTACAGCAGTCTCTTGTGCTCGTACTTCTGCTGAAGTTGATAGCAATACTGTTCCAGGTATTGTTTGACTTGCTTGTTGTGAGGCATCAGTGGAGTACCAGTAGGCCATGATTGGTCGGAGAGTGTCATGGTTTGGCGTGGTATATTCGTTTCAAGAGCAGAGTAGACTGGCTTTTCCCATCGACCATGCTTCTTTGGTACTGAATTCCACACGCCTCCTGGTCCGGGCTTTTGCTCGATGATGGTAACTTTGAGGCCTTCAGCGCAGAGATAGCTAGCAGCTACAAGCCCGCTAAGTCCTGCGCCGATAATGACCACGTCGGGGAAAAGTGGACGCATCGTGATCTTTTTGAGAAAATCAATTCGAACTTCAAATCTTGCGAGAAATTTGTCCTGGATGCAGTTTTGTGCTGGGTGATGTAATTGTGTATTGGTTGTTGTTGATGTGCTCGAAAATCTGTCTTTCGACGAGCAGGATACTTCTTTTGTATCGCATGGTATTCAGCGGGTGTGGCTATAGAGGCTTGTCGCACTTCTCTGCAATGTCTAAGACGATAGCTCGGTCACCTCGCAACTCCACTAGAGTCAAACTGGTCCAGTTGATGGCTCTTTGCAAGACAAAATTCAAATGCCTGTCAATGCGACTCGCCGATGAAACTGCGCATCTATAGTGCAGGACTGTACGCCCTAGTAATGGCGATAATGTCTCTGAACTTGCAGACATACCTAAACACATTGCACCATGGCCCGGGTTCCACATTGCCAGACACCGGACACAGTGGCAGATGACTGATGTCGCGCCGCTCAGGTCCGCCGCTTGTAATTGGTCAAGGTGGTCATTTCGGCTCCAGAAAGTCTTCGGGCCTGTTCATGTACATCTCAAATGGACGTCCGCGAAGCTCCGTCGAGCCGACACCTTCAGGCGCGTGAACTTCCGGCGTGAAGGCCACTTCAGAATACGCTCGTATCAGTCTTCTCAAGTAACAAGAAGTCGCCGCTCGCGTCAAGTACTTGTCTCTGAAGGTGGCCATATTGTTCGCGATAATGTTTTGGGCTGCGTTAGGATGGTCTTTATAGTAGAGAACCTTCTCCTCCAAGTCAGACCAATTGCGAGCCACGGCGACGTAGTTCTGATTCGGTCCCTCCTTCTCCAGCAGATGATAGTATTGCGCCGTATAGTTCAACTCGTGGACGAAAGGAAGAGAGTTACAGTTGAAGAGAAACTTGAGTCGGCCAGAATACGTCCAGCCTTCCGTATGCACTGTCATGGTGTAATTGCACATATCTCTGATGGGGATCGCATTCTCGCCAGTAGTGCCGTTGTAGTAAAGGATGTCTGCCCATTCCTTTCCTCTTGTCGTGTTGAACAGGCCACTTCTAAGCTTCTCATTGTTCAGTCGACTCCCTCTCCAGACGGCTTTGGGGATCTTCTCCACGTTGTCGCGCGCAAATGCTTCCAGACGTGCGTCTCGATAGGAGCCCAGACCTTTCGCTGCCCAGAAGTCGAAGTTTGGGATCAGCCAAACGCGATCAAATGTGCTGTTGCCGAGCTCGCGAGTCCAGGTCCAGAAAGTCTCGGTGCCATGCTCCGTTGGCGGCAAGGATAAGTCCTGAAGAACGATTGCTGCTTCGATGGTGGGAAGTCGTTCTCCGCCAGCAGTTGCGGCTTCCAACGCGCGATGCAACAAATTCAGGATGCCCAGCGAACGTTCCTGATAGCCTATCAAGCGCAAGGCGTTGATGCTTTCGAGGACGCGCAGTCGATTGTCATGTATCAGCACTCGTATGGCCCCGCCACTTAACCAGTCGGTAGGATGCCAAGAAATGTCCACGTCCTTTTTGGAGATGGTGTGCTTCTTTGCCTTCCAGTAGCTTGCTGCTCGGTCAACCTCGTAGTAGAGGTGTGGAAATTCAGCGTCGCATTGAGCTACAGAAAGCGTATCTGGGAGCTCGTGTGGAAGCAGCTGATCCAACCCTTGGACTTGGTGCTGTATTCCCGATGTGCCTGTGCCTCGGAAGCCTGGCGGCGCAGTGTTCAGACCATACAAGACCAGGATCGATTGGGCCACCAGCAGGAAGGCAAGCAGGTAGGAGGAGTGCCTCCATGTCAATCGCCTGTCGAGCTCCATGTCAGCTCTGCTCTGCCCTGCTCTGCTCTCACAGAGTCGACATGATGGCGGAGCGGGCAGTCCAAAAGGAGGAGGAGATGTGATGGCTGCAACGGGATGTGTTATTGCGGCGGAGCGGAAATCGGCAAAGCTATCAATAGTTCTAGAACTAGCCGCCAGCTAGTGGAAAGGGGTGAAAGTAGGCGAGCAAGGTGGGACGGCTGATATCATCACAAATCGAGAGTGAAGCAGCTTTCCATGGACTATACTGTGCTTTGCCGGAAGGTTGAGACTGCCAAGAACTGGAGGAGCCCTACCAACTTTTTACTAGTAAATCGTGCATTTCGTCCTCTAGTCGGCTTATTGCAATACTACGCGCGAAAATAGTGTTTATGTTGATAGTATAGCCGTTAAATATACAGTCCGAGGTATTATTGTTAGTATTCTAGCTATTCTAGCTCTTCTACGCCGTACGAGCCCTTCCTACGCCCTTACCTACCGAAATAGCGCGACTCGCTAAGCATTATTTTGACGCCGGTTATAAAGTAATAGATATTATATTAAAGACAGATACGAGCCGGTCGACTATGTTTCGATAGAAGTTTTATTATAGCCTCTTCGGAGAGGTATTCTTAACGTCGGAGAGGTTTAAATCGAGTCGTAAGAGGAAGATTACGAAGGAGATAGAAATCTACCTCCTTAAGTACTTGTCGACACGGCCGGAGGCATATCTCGAGGAAATGTATACTACGCTATACGATCGCTTCGAAATTAAGGTAGATCCGGCTACGGTATAGAAGTGCCTATATAGGCTCGGTTAGACTCGCAAAGTAGCGTATAAGGTCGCGAAGGAACGTAGTGCGTTAGCAAGAGCCGCCTAGTATACGAAGAGCTAGAAATAGCGTATAGATAAGTTAGTATTTATCGACGAAACAGCCTCTAATAAGAAGTCTAGATACCGCAAGTTTAGATAGTCGCCGAAGGGCATAGATTGCTATAACTATTAGTATACGTAACGGTAAGAGCGAATGTTAGTACTTCTAGCACTTACAATCTATAGATATCTGCCCTATACCCTCTATATCTAAGGCGCGGTTAATTAAGTTATATTTAACGACTAGCTAGAGAATAAAGTGCTGCCTCTTCTTAGTAAGAATATAATTATTATAATAGACAACGCTTCTATCTACTATAGTAAGAAGGTTGAGTCTATAATCTTGTTAGCTAGACACACCCTCGAGTATTTGCCGCTATACTCTCCTAACTTGAATCCTATAGAACAGACCTTCGTACTGCTTAAGAAATAGCTTAAGAAGAATAAAGATCTTATAGCAGACTTCGAATGCTTTAAAGACTTCCTTATATAGGCTCTTAATTATATTAGAAAGATAGATATAACAGGGTTGTTCAAACATGCTAGATATAACGTATAAGGCTTTAAATCTAAAGCTAAAGCCGAGATTAAGTCGGAGGAAAGCTAGCTTACTAGCAATTTCTAGTCGCTTTAGATCTAACTACTATAACATTAATAATATACTCTAGTATTTGCAGGTTAGCAAGATAACATATATCCGAAGCTCCGCTACGAATTTTATATATATAACTAGCGTAGTGTTAGTATAACAAAATTAATAAGGTGTTAGTACGTACTGCTAAGCTTTATATATCTCCTCCGCTTTTACCTCCGAGAGACTCCGAGAATGCCCCTAGAAAGTACTCTCGAAGCAACGACGATAATAGAGATATACGCAACGGAGCGAATAGTAAGCCCTTAAATTCTCAATCTGTATATAAACGCCTAACTAATCTAAACTAACGAGATCGGCCGTTGCTCCGTTATAAATATCGTTGTTATATTAATCTCTCTAAGCTAGCTTTTCCTTCTAAAAGCGCTTCAAACAGTTACGCAACGTGCCTAAGTTACCCTTATAGAAGCTAAGCTCCTTCTACTCTCGTATAGGAAGTTGATATAACTAATTACAGTTATAGCGTTTAGTTATAAAGTGCGCTTCTATCTTTAAGAGCTATTCCTTATCCTTAGCATCCTTCTATTCGTGCTATATCGCTGCCTATTAAAAGAACTGTCTTAGTAGACTTCTCGGTAGTATATTAAGTGCCTTAGCAATATGCCTTAGAATAGGAGACTCTTGTTATATAGGCTAAGCTTCTTAGACCTAAGCTGCAGTTGCAACGCCTAGCTTCTAATTAACTAGATTAAACATAGTCTAGATTAGATTAGCATAGTCTATAGCTAGCGGCGGCGGTAGATAAACTGCTAGCATAGAGCGTGCCCTTACTAGAGTCTGTAACTAGAAGGGCTCCTTTATAGCGGCAAGTAGACTGTTTAGTTTACGAGATTGCATCTTCTCTTTATACTGCTATATCTTAGCGAAGATACTATACGGCGGTTGCTTAAGAGTAGCTCCTTCTTGCTTTGTAGTAAGTACGTAAGACTATAGCTTTATTGCCTCGCTATAGAACTAGTAATAATTGCGAGGGATGTCTAGAAGGCCTTTAGGTCTATAGCAGTAAGCGCTATAGTTCTCGCAGCTAGGGAGGGTATATATATAGTTAGCAAGTAGCTTAGTCGTATAATTGCCCTCCTTCCGCTCCTTAGCAATAAAGGTAATACTAGCGACATTCTACTAATCGTTTAGCTTCAGTTTGCTAACTTTAAGAATAGCTAAAGATCTAGCGTCCTTAGTAGTAGTCTTAAACTTAATGTCAATCTTAATCTTGTCTCTAGTATCGTTTATCAACTCTACGGCGTAGTCGAGAGCCTTATTATAATCTTCCGCTATAGAAGAAATTAGTATACTCGTAACTCGAGCTAAGCGGATATAGCCGCTAGGTAGGTGCGAGCGATAGTAAGAATATCGTTACCTTACCTTTCTTCTAACTCTGCTTAAACTAGTTACTCTTTAGCACTTTGAACGCGGATACGATTAATATATAGTTACCGATATAGAGCTGCTTCTTCTACGCTTCTTCGTTAGCCTAATAGTACGCATCTTCGGTATACTAAGTACTAGCGCTAGTACGGTTATAGTTCTCGAAAGCTAACTCATTATTGCTAGTAAGAAGGCGCTAGGTTTGCTTATATTCTAAGTCCTTACGAGGGTTATAAGACAGCGTAGATATATCTTCCTTATTTACCTACTAACCCTTTACTAGGCGCCGCGCTTAGATACCTCTCGTAGGCGAGACATTAGCTAAACGCGTTAACTCGCCGACCTTAACTTCGCTAGCAATATTAACTTCTATAGCAGTCGCGGTATCGTTAACCTAATAATCCTTCTACGCCGCGGCCTTAAACGCCGGTATATTATCAAACTTCTGCTACTACGCCGTCTTCTTCTGCTTTCCGCTAGCCGCCTTCTTCTTGCCCTTCGTAGGCGACTTCGCCTCGCGCCGCCGCTCGGCTTCCTTATACGCTAGCAGGTCCTTCGAAGTTGCCGTACGCGATCGAGACACGCGTGCCTCCGCTATAGCGTAGTGTTCGAGATATAGGCGCTATAGATTAGTCGCTATTAACGCAGCGACGAGAATAGCGAGCTCCGGCGGTAGCAACGTATAATAAGACATTGTAAGAGGCTAGATTTAATAGCGGTAAGACCTTATATAGGCATTATCGTGCTTAAAGGCATAAAGAAGTCTAATCTCGGATCTACGAGGGTTACAAACCCGGGTTCTTAGCAGTCTTAACCTTCTAGTAAAGCATAGTACTATTATTTGCGTTTAGGTTAAGAATGCTAAGAACCTTGTAATCTAGATGCCTGTCTATACTGTCTCTTAGCGGTTAGGTCGATAGAGTGTAGTTATATCCTTATACCGCTTTTAAAATGTCCTTAATAGGCAGTATACCTCTAGAGATAGCATATATCGTCGCTATAGTCTACGTTGCTAGTAATCTCCTACTAGTTTATTATCTCTTAATAGCGCTAAAACTACCGAAGAGCGCTCTATAGGCGCCTGCCGTACGTACGAGTCGATCGCGTAGACTAGTCGAGAAGGACCTACCGGCTTATAAAGATACTATTATAAGGCGCGAGTCGCCTAAGAAGAAGGTCGCGAAGACGAAGAAATTAGCGGCGGCGGCACTAAAAAGGTTTAGTAAGGCTCGCGTATTCGACGTAGAAGCGTAGAAGAAGTATTTAGAATAGATAGACGACGCTTCGACGGCGGCTAGTAATAATAATATTAATATAGAAGGACAAGTTAAGCCTAGCGAGTTAACGGCTATAGGTAAGGCGCCTAGCGCGCCTGCCTCTAAGTTAGCATAGCGTCTTATAAAGTAGCAGTTAGTAGATAAGGAAGATATCGAGATAGCCTCGTACGATAGTCGAGACGACCTATGCTATAAGTAGTACTAGCGCCTGCTTACTAGCAATTAGGTTCTCGCGATTAAGAACAAGGAATAGTATAGTGCCGCTACTTAACCTACTAAAGATGCTTTCTACTAGGCCGTCGATAAAGCGAAGAAACAAGGTCTCTTCGTAGGAAGTTGTATACTAGTTGTGTCCGCTGCGCGTATAAAGAAGTTAGATTGGTTCTATTAAAGTTAGAAGCAGAATAGTAAGCTTAACGGCTATTCTAAGAGCGTTCTTATAGCTCGTTCTTATACTAATCTCTCGTAGCTAAGGACTATAGTAAAGCACTCGATGCCGCTCTTAAATTTGTATACGAGGCTCGAGATAAGATCCGTATTAATATCGAGTTTAAAACAGCGCTAAAGGACGCTCTCGCTAGCGCTGTTCTCAAAGTTAGTAAACTAAAGCCAAACGACTAACAAACTATCGACGGTCTTACTTATATTGCTAAAGAGCGAAGATCTAGCAATTATAAGACCGAGATCTAGGCTAACTATATATACTCTCTAGCAACTTGTAAGAACTATAGCGGCTATTACTATTATCCTAAGAATACGCCGAATTCGGACATCTATTATTACTAGTTCTATTAAGAGGCTTTAAACCTATAGTCTTACGCTCTTACTATAAAGCAAGAAGGCGTTACTCTTAAGAAGCCGCCGGAGTTAGCTTTTATAAAGATAAAGGAATACAAAGACAAGATATTAAGTAGCAAGCTAAAGCCTTCTGCTAGTATACTTGCTAATTCAAAGATAGCAGAGATCCCTTAAATACTAGCTCCTTAACGAGGCCGTTCTATAGTAGATGCTAGCGCTATTGTCCGAGAGACTATATCGAGTCTGCTTCTAGTTCTTCGTAGCGGACAACAAGCTAAGCCTGCTATCGTTCTAACACTTCCGGCTATAGTAGAAGAATCTCCTGTTCTAGTATATATTGTAGTACAACTTAGAACACCTATCTTAAGCCTTACTCGATAGTTCTTTAAGTATACTATATAGCAATACGAATAGTCTAATCTAGAAGAAGTTAGAGACTTTAAGAAGATAGAGTTATACTTCCTTGCTAAGAAATAGGACTGTAATTAGATAATGCGTGTCTCTAAGAAGTACTAGAAGGATTCTGAAGGAAGAACTTAGCTTCTTTAAAGGATATAGACGCCGGTTGCTTGATATATTAAAGCGCTTTTAGAAGATTAAGTTGTCCGAGAGGGCAGAGAAGTAATAGGTTTAGAACGATAATTACGATATTAACGATAGAGCGACGGCTATTCTCGTTAGTTTAAATTAGTAAGGGGTTTATATAGTAATAGCGAACAAAGTGGCTTATTAATTGCTCCGTTGTATATATCTTAATTATCGTTACCGCCCTTCGAGATCTCCGCTAAGATCTCCGCTAGAGTAAGGAGCTTAAAAGCGCTACGCTTAGCGCGGGTCTTAGCGTTCCGTACTATAACTTCGAAATTAGATAGCATCCGCTATACTGCTCGGATTATAATAAAATTAATAGCGGAGCTTCGTCTTAATGTTGTCGTAATATTACGCATCTTAAATAGTATAATTTAGTTATATAGTAGTATTGTTTTGCTACTTAGAGGTACAGGTTGTTAAACTCTAAGCCTAGCTCCGTCGCTTCCGCGTTAAAGTCGTATACTCCGTCGATATTGTATCTACTATGCCTAAACAATCCGGTTATATTAAGGCTAGCTATATGCTTAAGAGCCTATCTAAGGAAGTTAGCAAAGCAATTAAAGTCCTTCTGCATCTACTTGTTCTTTTTAAGCTATTTTTTAAGTATGTTAAAGGTCTGTTCTATTAGATTAAGGTCTAGCGAATATAGCGGTAAATACTCTAATCTATAGCTAGCTAACGTTATTATCTCTTCGACCCTATCGCTATAGTAGATCGAGGCATTGTCTATTATAAAGATTATCTCCTAACCGTTAATTAAAGGCATTACTTTATTCTCTAGCTAGTTATCGAAAGTAACTTAATCTACGGCGCCTTCTACGTATAGTATATAGTTAAGATATCTATTGATCGTTAGAGCCGGCAATACTAAGGTGCGTCGTTGCCTCTACGTATACTAGAAATCGTAGCAATCTACGCCCTTTAGAGACTAACTATACTTCCGGTAAGTAGTCTTCTTATTAGAAGCCGTCTCGTTAAGGAATATCAACTTGTCTATAGGCTATTTCTAGCTCCTTATATGCTATACGGCTCTTGCTATCGGATTACGCTCCTTTGCGATCTACTTAGCTTATTTGCGAGTCTATTCTATCCGATTAGTAAGCGTACGCCAAACGCTCGAAGGACACAGTTCTACGCTAAATTAGTTATATAATGCTATATACATCTCTTCTAAATACGAGTCTAGCCGGTTAGACAAGTACTTAATTAACTAGTCGTCTATTTCCTTCGTTATCTTCCTTATACGGCGCTTAACTTTCTTCTTCTTCTTCTTGCCCGGTTTAGGCGACGCTAGCGGGTCCGGATCCGGTATATATACCTTACTAAACAGATTATAACACTTCCGCTATCGATATATCGTCGTAGTGCTAGTACTAGTCTTCGAGATAATAGTTAGAATATCGAGACTATCGTCGAAATATAGTACCGCGAGCCTAGCAGTCTTAGAGGGTAGGCGACCTAGCATAGCGCCGCAAAACGCGAGGAAGGCGCAGAATAACTAGAACAATACCTTAGATTGTATATTTAACGGCTATACTATCGACATGCTTAGCAATTTAGTATTAGGATAAGAATACGTAGAAAGAGGACGAAATGGCTGAATTACTAGTAAAATCTTAGTAGGGCTTCTCCGGCTTGGCATTCTCAACCCAAACGCAAATGATAGTATTGAAGCGTTGAGGAGTGTCTAGGCGAGTGGAGAGATGGTCCATTTAATTCAAGGTTTGGCGGATACAGCCGCCGTCTGGGTGAAGTCGATCAAATCCTCACTGAGCCTTTTCAACCATCTCTCCTTCATCGTGGACACCTTCACTGGGCAGCTGCTGCTATTGCGCGAGGTCTATCCTGTGATTGTACCATCGGCCACTTGTAGACATGGACCAAGTGATTACAAAGACAATGCACTATACAGTACTGGCCTCTACCAAGATGTGCAGCTCTTTGCACCTCACGACAGTCTCTACGGAAACTTTTCAGGACTCAGCGATCGTGAAGATGCCATGCCGCAGAAATGATGTTCTTTAGAGCATCCATGACACCTACCTCTTGATGCAAGGCTCCCGGGACTTGCTTCGAAATACTCACGGACTCTTTCCCTGAGGTCGGCATGTGTGCACTACGGCCGCAAAGACTTCAGTCCGTCGTGAATAGCTTGGGGCCTTCAAACACCTTGTGGATGGCACCATGGCATCAGGTAGGAAGCAGGAAGTCCGGACTGCGGTTTTGGGAAGCCTGCCGGAGACTGTCTCGGTATCCATCGCTCATGCTTCTTGTACAAGCGACTGCACTTCAATCGCTCTTGACTTATCTCGCTACTGTAGGAGCGTGCGCCTGTCGCATACTACACAGCCATGCTTCTCTTCTCCTCGCAGAGAGCTTACAACACAACCTTACCCCCAGCGAGCGAACATTCAGGCAGTATAGCGAACCTTCGCATATCCATACCCTTCGTATACCAGCAATCAACATCACTCTCATTGCAGCAGCAACGGTCTATCGTCTACAATGGGCTGTCATCTCAGTACCCCCTCGAACCTCGGCGGTGACGACAGCAACCAAGGATCAATCCCGCTCTTCACAAGTTTTCAGGCCCGTGAGCGTCAAGAGGCCTCATCCGCGAGCAGCCCAACGAGCAGCAGTCCGCCAGGGCCTCCTCGCACCACCACTGTGAACAGTACCGCCATAACGCTCGTGAACAACGAATTCGAGGACGATGATGCATTTACAATCGTGTCTTCCACAACGGCACCTAGGCCCCGGAGACCACAACTTCCGACTTTGGGCGAAGAGCTTCATGAAATCTATGAACTAATGCCGAGGCTATCATCCTTAGGTCCCTCCTGGCTTCAAGATCCATGCCACAATGCTATGATACGCGTGAGCCAAAAGCTCCGATCAGACTCCTTTCCCGCGTGGATCGCTCGCCTGCAATTCCGCTATGTGATCGAACAGCTGAGCTACCACACCGACAACACACTCGAATTCGACCATAGCGCATTCCGCGGCTGGCTCCATTCGTTCGGTAGGAACTTAGCCCATATGGAAAACTTGGACATCACTGTCCCAGAGGCCCCGATAGCGAACGCCTGCGCTCAATCGATCAATCCAACCTGCCACAACTCGAACCCCCATTGCAGAAAATTCCACTACGTGTACCTTTTGCGAATCACGGTGCTCAAGGGACGCTACCGCATCCATTACTGCTCGCGAGGATCGGACGACGGAGCGTGCCCTACGTGTTCGAAGAAATTCCGCGACAGGGCGTGCTGGTGGAAAGCGGCGGAGATCTTGAGGGTTCTTGTTTCGGCTTTTGGGCGTGTGGGAGTTACACTTCTGCCTAACGACCCACGTCATGTCGATGTGCACACTGCTGTGCTGCAGAGATATCTGCCGTAAAGGGGTTGGAGGTAGGATTTTCCTCAAGGGATTTAGACTTGAATCTGACGCATTAAACAATAGACGAGTGGAATTGCAGATGCTAGGATTGCAGAGTAGAAATGAAGCGGTGATGGAGTGTGATACACCCTCATGACGCCGTTTGGGCCGCTCATTGCAAGACCAAACCAGCTCGACAGATCATTGAGGCAGTCGCTTCTTTCTAGAGACACGAATGGGCATGAGCAGTGAATCCATATGTCTCTCGTTTGATTTGCTCAGCACTATGTCACGGCGACGGACTTTAATGAGTCCTGATTGCTAGACCGCTCCCTGCTGACCATGCCACGCTGATAGTTCTGATCCATACTCTGGAAACATTTTCCTGCTGCTGCACGTCTGCATTCTTGTGCTCCTGACTCCGCGTCATTTTCCAGTGCCATCCAGCCTAGTCTCATTTGGGCTTCTCAATCCCATACATTCACATGCCCAGCTTCGTCCTCCTCGATCGTTGGAAAAAACACATCTTCGATATCGATCACCACTCTGAGGTCGCTCTCTTTGCCCTTGAGGCGTCGGATGCCACTCAACAGATCACCGATCTTGATCCCGCCCGTGTTGCAGACCACCACAGACCCCTGAACAACTGGGCTCCTAAGTGTGAGCTGATAGCACGGCGGCTGCGTCAGGAGCATTTGGCGTGCACTCTTGGGGCTCTTGACTCGCCTCCCGCAAAGAGAAAACGCGAAACCTCGGTTTGAAAGCCGTGTTACGTATGTAGCGTATAGACAGAAGACGTCTGGCGCGCGATGGGTGCGAGGGCAGCGAAGCAATGGATTGAGCTCGACGCTAGTACTATGTGCTGCCCATAACTTGTCAGTAATTGCGGGGAGAGCCCTGCACCTCCGCAGGGGCTTGGCAAGCACACATACACCTATTTTTCCACTAAAAGCTGCTCTTCAGACCTCTGTCGGAAGCCTAGATTCTCTAGTATATCGTAGATATCGTGTTGTCGACAATTTAGTGGTATAGGCCCTTCCGAGGTATTGTTACAATAGTAAAGAAGGCTCGTATTAATCGCGACTAGCAAGGCTAACTAATTAACCTCTTTTCTAAAAGGCTATCTACTAAGGAGATACACGCCTTTACAAAGCTTCTAATATCAGTCCGTTTAGTATATCGTTATTAAGAGAAATAGCGCTTGTTTAGAGCCTTATATACCGAGAATATAGGTACTCGGCGTAGCTATTCGAATAGCCTACTTCTAGTAGCCGAAGACGAGTTTCTTCTTAGGTATCTCGACGACCGACCGGACGCTTACTTTATAGAGATAATCTAAGCTCTTTAAGACGAGTTTGTAAGGCTACGCCCTATAAATAAAGGTAGTAGTAGTGCGGTTAAGCTTCGTCCTTCTCTAATCGGCAAAGTGTTAAAGAAACACGCCTATACTCGAACAAAGGTTAAGCGGTCGGCGAAGGAACGTAACCTATTCTTAAAGGCTTTATAGACGATTAGGTACGCTAAATAGCCGGCAGATCGACTAGTCTTTATCGACGAGACTACTAGCAATTAGAAGACAGGTTAGCGGAAGTATAGATAGAGTCTAAGAGGTATTATATACGTAGATATCTAATATGCGAAGCGAGAAGTAAGGTAGAGTGTATTGCCGGCTTTTACGGTCTATAGCTATTTGCTATATACCTATATATACTAAGGATTAATTAATAGTAACCGCTTCTATACCTAGATTACTAAGCAGGTGCTTCTATGCCTCGAAGAAGGACCGCCGATAATCTTTGTTATAGATAATACTAGTATTTACTATAGATTAAGGATTAAGTAGGCGATTCTCGATACTAGATACCGACTCGAGTACTTACCGCCGTATTCGCCTAATTTAAATCCTATTAAAGGCAGCTTTAATCTACTAAAGAAGACTATTAAAAGACATAGAGATTAGATTCCGAAGTTCTTTAGCTTTTAGGATTACTTGCTATATTGTTTATACCGCTATCGAGGCCGTCGAGCGCGTAAGCTATTCGCTAATACTAGATATAATATCGATAGGGTAGATTTGCTGTACGACGCTTCCTAATTCGAGTCGACGGCTAGTAACGCTTAAAATATGCTAGCACTCGATCTAGAAGAGTCCCGATAGATATAGTAGACTTAGAACAACGAGCCGCCGGTGCTTAACGACGTAGAAGCGCTATATACGTTATATAAAGAAGATAATATAGAAGACGAGGAAGAAGAGGTCGATTTTAACGATTTCGAGTAATGTAACTAGGCGTTATTAGCGTGCGGCAAGCGCCGTATAGTAGAGGTATAAAGAATGTATACGAACGCTAGCCTTGCCTATTGCTTATATTATACTACAACTAACGCATAATATTAATTAATTATATATAGGCTAAATAAGTGCTTCTACCGCAAGAATCTCTCGCTTATTACAAGTTTATATATGTTATAGTTATGCAAAGATTAGTATAGGAAGGAAGCTAAAGTTCTTAGAAGTTCTCTCCTTCTTTAGTAGCGGCAGCTTCCGCCGCTATAACCTTATCCTGTTTCTTTCTTATAAACTCGACGATAGCCTTCTTTAGTTTTAATCGTATTCTATCTACCTAGCTAAGTGCCGCTAGCTAGTCGTCCTTTATTAGATTGTAGATAGTCTCTAGCGTCTAGCCTACGCCGACGAAATAGGCAATACAAGGCCGTAGATAGTTATAATCCTAGAAATCGCGGTAAAGGGCAACCTAGTCGAAGAATTCTACCGTTAGCTTCTCGCACTAAACGATATTGCGTAGCAGTCTAGTATTACGCTAACTAGCCTTAACTAGAGCTCGAGCAGGTATCCGACTTAGTGTGCTAGCAATAAGGCTACTGCCGCGTAGTTTGCTGTCTAGAATGCGACTAAGGTCCTTACTAAAGTTGTTATAGATAATCGGCTGAATTCTACTACTTCTAACGGCTAGTTTACGAGGCGAGTCGTCTTCGTTACTGCTATAGCGGCGACCTCTTATCTTCCGGATAGTAGTCTTCTATATCTCATTCTCGACCTTCCTCTTTATTAGCTTAATTTCTAACCTTACTAGCAACCTATCCTCGAGAGCGCCGGTTTGCTTATTAACCTTCTATTTACTAGAAGCGATCGCTTTATAGCCCTCAATTATAGCCGCCTCGAAGAATAGAAAGTAGTTCTTACTATAGTCCTTTAGCTTCCGGTTACGCTAGTACGTATGCTTACCCGCCTTTATATAATTGCTATAGTCCTTCGTACTATATAGAAAGTTACGGATAATCTAATAGTCGTATCGCTTCTAAGTCTCGAGTTTAGCTATTACAACGCCGGCGTTAGTAAGCTAAATTAAGGTTGGATTAGAAGCCGGTAGCTTCTTGCTACTACCTAAAGGTCTAGCCGCTACTGTTGCTTTAGGTTTAGTTATAAAGTCTATATTAATAAATACATTCTTCTACGAGGCAAGGATAAGGCCTTTCGCGACCTCGAGAGCGTTAGTATAGACCTTATCGCTATCAATCTTATTATCTCTAGCTTGGTGCTAATCGCTAGTAAAAGCGCTCTTCTAACCGTCCGCTCTAGTACGAATAACGACTCGGTTAATAGCCGCTATTCTATACAACTTCGCTATCTTCGCCGCCTACGTATAGCTATTCTAACCCTCCTTATCGCTCGCCGATAAGAACTTTACCGGTTTATACGCTATTGTCCGCGCCGCGCCCTTCTTCGTCGTATTAAAGAGCGTCTACTGTCCTTTATAATAGAAGGTCTCGTCTAAGAAAGAGCTAGGTTAAGTTATTAGAGCGTTACTAGTAGCGAGTATAGCGACGCTGCTAGTAGCGGCTTCTACCTCCTACGTAGCGTTAAAAGAGGAGGATATAGAAGCTATAGTAGAGGAAGTATTACCTATATTAGGTAGCAGCTCCTCTGCTAGTACTATAGCGGTCTCTTTACTTTATATAGCCGAGGGACTAGCGATTAGGTTAGGCTCTTCGACGGCAGTCGCTTTGCTATTCTTGCCGGCAGTTAACCTACTCTTAGTACCACCTTTTGCCTGCCGAGTCGTACTAGCACCTCGTCCAATTGGCGGCGGACTAATAGGCTTCTCGAGACTCTAGTCTACCTTCTTCTTCTTGTTGCTAGCTTGTTAGTCTAATCGTACTAGTAGCTTGCTAGTAGTCGTACGTATCGGTCTTAGCGCTATTATTATAGTTATAGCGGTTAGAAGGGTTAAAAGCAGTTAGAATACGCGTACGAGGCTTAAATAGTCGATTGTTCTCTGTCTATAGTAGCAATTTAGGAAGAAACAGGCGATTCTATATATAAAACACCCCTATCTAGCCCCTAGCTAGCTATCCGGAAGAGGATAAGGCTCTGCGGACCGTACTAACAAGTTATAGGCAGCACATAGTATAGCGTTTTCCGTCTAGCCCTATATCGGATTCGAAGCCCGGCGCATTTTTCGTTAATCTCTTAACTACGTACGGGTTATCGTTCTTAGGCCGGCGAAACTTCTAATATCGGTTAGATAGGTAAGAGATGTAGCGTGCGTTTTAGGACGCTACTAGAGGCGATAACTGCTTTCTAGTGTTTGGTACTATAGTGTCTTTTGCTAAGAAGAGATCCTATATTAGAAGGTAGTCGAGGATGTTTTCGAGTAGCTCGGGAACAGCGAACACTCGAGCAGCGGCGGCATAGCCGGCAGCTTTACGCATACTGTGCTACCGGAGTAACCGTGCCTACCCCGCGAATTTTATAGAATTCGCGAAACTACTATAGATTGTTAGCAATTCGAACTATATTAAACTAACTAACGCGTTTCTAATACCGCAAACTATGTCGTCGTATTTCTAGCAGTATAGACGGTCCTAGGTATTGTTTTAGCGTTCTAATAGCACTATTATCGGGTTAGAAATATACGTAGCCAACCCGCTAGCAAATACCTCCTAATTAGATTACTTTTATACGGGATCTATAGGCAGAAGGCTATTCTAATCGCAGTGTTTCTAGGAAGACGTATATTAGTCGCCGCGCTATTAACTCTTTAAGAATTAATATTATATTGTTTAGCGAGCCGTATCTATAATAGGCGAAGAAAGGACCTTCTTAGAAGCTAACTAAGGCGCAAGAACTACGTATTCTCGAATACCTACGCGATCGACCGACTTCGTACTATTCTAAGACTATATAGTTTATTTACGACGAGTTTAATATTATCGTATCCGAGACGACCGTAAGCGATATCCTTAAACGCTATAACTTCTCGAAGAAGAAGGCTTAGCGTAAGGCGCTCGAATAGAGCTACGAGTTACGCGAGAACTAGCGTACGCTATAGAAAGGGATACTAATAGGTCGTATCTACTATATCGACGAGTCTAGTTTAAACGAGCGTACTAGATAGCGGAAATATAGCTATTCTAAAGTTAACACTCCTTATAAAGATATCGGCGGCTCGAAGAGGTTAAAGAGATAGTCTATACTACCTACTATAATAAGTAAGGATTATCTAGACGATTACCTTATCTACTAAGGCTCTATTAAAGCCGTAGACTTCGAAGACTAGCTAGAGTTGTTTATACTGCCTCGACTAGAAAGGGGTATATTTCTCGCAATAGACAATGCTAGACCCCGTAGTAGTTCGGTTTCCGAACTACTAAACGTATATAGTTTGGTTTCTTAGCGGCGAACCAGCTCCCTAGTTCCGGTTTAGTTTTTTCGAACTATATAGATTCCTGGTTTAAACTAGAGACTGTATTAGTTTTACTATAAGGACACTCTTATTCGACTGCCGGCTACGATTGCCGGCTATAATAGTAACTCTATTACATTTACTACGCTCTTTTGCCGTTGCTAGGGCGTAGTTGCCGTTGCTAGGGCGTAGTTTTGCTATAAGGATACTCTTATTCGACTACCGGCTACGATTGCCGGCTATAATAGTTACTAGGTTGTATTTACTACGCTTTATTACCGTTGCTAGGGCGTAGTTGCCGTTGCTAGGGCGTAGTTGCCGTTACTAGGGCGTAGTTGCTATTGCCGGGGCGTAGTTACTATAGTTGCGAAAGCTTACCTATATAACGTTACGTAGGCGGCAACAATTAGGGCTTCGCGATATTCTTATACTTTTAACTTCTTCCTCTATACCTATACCGATAATAACTACTATACGCTGCGCCCCCGCCCCTTTCCCTTATAATAGCAAGAGAGAAGCGCGCCGCGCGCTAAATAGAAGATAGAACTAAAGACCGCGAGTTTATTTTGCCTAAGCGTCTAACTAAAAAGCGCAAGACTAAAGAGGAGTACTCTACGAAGAAGAATTCCGTACGAGACCGCGAGAGAAAGGATAAGATAGATAAGGATAAAAGAGCTAAGAATAAGAGAAGAAAGGCGCGGAATAAGGCATTCTATCGATAGCTAGCGCCTATAGAAAAAAGTGAAGGTTAGAATAAGAAGACAACCTAAGAGAAGGCTAAGAGGAGGAAAGAATTGCGGCTAGTTTTCGAGCGTAAAGTTCTAGTAGCGTAAGTTAATCTAGCTAGCGGCCGTAGCTAGCAGCTATAGCCGGCAGCCGTAGCCGGCAGCTGTAGCCGGTATATTTTTCTTTAACACGTTAACTAATAGTATTTAGACCTGTAGTCGCTACCTCTATCGATACGACTAATAGTAACGGAGATGTTTAGATAGCCGAGAATAACAATGCTAGAGTTTAGGATGCCGCGACAGAGCTTAATACTACGAATAAAGGAACTAAAAAAAGCGAGGAGATACTATACGTCGATCTAGTAACAGGTATAGTCTTAGGGCCTAACGCTATAGACGATAAGCGCTAGGAGTAGATCGAGTACAGTTAAAGAGACGAGATACTAGTAAAGGGCTAAGGTATAAGTCCTATTAATCTAGAAAATTATAGTTAAAGCTACTACGAAAAGCTAGCAAGGATTAGAATCGAGACTAGTCGTCTTTATATCCTCGATATAGAGTAGAAGTTTCTTTATTAGTATTAGAGCGAAGCCTTTACGTCTATAAAGGTAAAGTAGCTTGCGATTAATGCGATCGGGGCTAGGTATCTAGGGACGGTAGAAGTGTTACTATAGGAGGAAGGGGTACAGGTAATTATTCTATACTCGGCATATATAGCCGGCGTTCGTAGCCGGCAGATACTAACAGTTAAACAGAAAGCGTTTCTCGAAGGCAGAGTGCTACTACTATATAAAATCTTTACTAAGGCAGAGAGGGCTTATATCCGGAATCTAAGCTGCTAGTAGGATAGGTTAGCGTTAGAATTCTCTAAATCTCTATATAAGCCTCCGAAGGATTACCTATTTCAGCGATACGGCTTTATCTCGACTACTCCGTAGGCACCCGAAGAAGCTCGAGCGCTCTTTAAGGTCTTTACTAAGAAGCGGAAGGAGTTCGAGGATTAGGATTAGTTAATAGAGCTGTTAGTTAGTCTTAGGTTTCGTAGTTAGACTCGGCCTAAGTATTTGCTTATCGAGTGTCTTATACCGAAAGAGGATAGATTGAGACTAAAAACGAGCTTAGATTCGTTAGGTATAGTAGCTCGGTTCCGTTAGTAGGAGAGAGCCGCCGTATAGAAGGCAAAATTTAGGTAGTTAGGGTAGCTAGGAAAGAAATTCTAGTAGTTAGGCTAGCTAGGGTAGCTAGGAAAAAAAATCTAGTAGTTAGGTAGCTAGGAAACAAAAAAAAAGGTAGCTAGCTATTTACTACCTAGCTGTTCCTAACGATACGATGCTATAAAAGAAAGGGTGTTTCTCTATAGCTACTAGTATATATCTACTACTCCTAAGTCCTTACCTTACTATACGAAACCTCAAAATATGCCGACCGACATTGTATATATACTAGGCGCTATACTAGGAAGGGTAATAACGAGACGACAGTCGAAACAGTCTAGTATACGAGCGAGATTGCGACAACGTCGAGAGGAGGTCGTATACTTACCTTCGAGCCTATCGAGTCCTAGACGACGATTAGGGCTAGATTCATCCTCTCCGAATCCTAGTAGTAGGAATTTATTATAGGGTACTACTACCTAGTCCTTACCTTTATAGAGTCTAAGTAGAAGGTTGTTCGGAGATATAAGAACATCGAGTATTAACCCGGAAATCTTCGAAAAGGCTAGCTAGGCGTATCTTTAGAAACCCGAGTATATAGAGCAGTTTAATTAATAGGTCTATAAGATATAGTTCCCTTTATACTTACGTTCGAAGGAGTATAAACTCCGGAAGTACTCGATGCGATAGGGGAGTAAGGAGCGAACGGATACATTCTAGAAGTTCTTTATAGAAGGGGCATTGTACCGTTATACGACTTCTCGACTTAAAAGTTAACTAGTAATTATCTATAACTTCTACGGTTTAATCTTAAAACACCCGAAACTAGGGGATAGGAACTTATCGCCTACGAACTATCTCTATTCTAAACGGTATCGGGAATCTTAAGGAGAGAGGAGAGTTAATATAGATATAGCGTTCTAGAAAGAGGTATGTCTTCTAAAATGCCGGCTATAGCTGCCGGCTATAGCTACCGGCTACAGATTCCGGCTACCTAAATCAACCGTAGAGATCTAGCTAATTATTATAGGCTACGCTTAAGGAAGCTCTAGGATTAAAGGCTACCGATTTCTCCCTCGAAGACTTTAAGCACCTAGTAAACGAAATGCTAGCTATAAACGGTCTTCCGGAAGACTTCTACGAAAGGGAGTCTATATAGAAGACATACCTATGTCTTATAAACTACCCTCCCCTATTTCTCGGCGCGACAACCTAGCGTATTATATTCGAAAAGAACAAAGAGGCTGCGTTAGACGATATTCGGGAGATCCTCCGTAATACTCGCCGAGTAGCTATTACTATCGATAGCTAGTTAAGCCGGACTATAAGAGCCTCCTTCCTCTCGATTATACTATACTTTATCAATTCGGATTAGAAACTCTAGGAACTTATAATCGGATTCCTTGAAATTCTAGGTTCCTATACTAGTAAGGATATAGCGAAGCTTGTCTATATAGCAATAGATAGGGTTAGCGTAATAACGAAACTAATCTCGATTACTGCGGACAACGCTAGTAATAATCGAACATTGTATAAGGCGTTGTATATACAATTTACTCGTATATATCTTTAAAATTACTAATTGTATCGATAGGGTCGAGTACGTAGAGGAGATTACAAGGTCTATAATCTAGCTTAATCTTCCGAATATTAAGCTCGCTACGATTCCGGATACGTACGATAATACGTACGATAATAACGATAAAGAGGAGCCTATTAATAGCCCTAGCCCTATTAAATCGGAGCCGACGTCGTTGCTAGTTACATCCCTATAGAAGTTTCCCTACCTCGCTTATATAGTTTAAATCGCGATCCGAGCCCTCTTTAAGACGCTTAAAATTGCACTATTAAACGACGACTAATAGAAGATCCTAGATAAGGATAAAGCAAAGTCGAAAGTCGAGAAACTTATTATAGCAATAAGACGGGATAAGGCAGAGAGCCTCGCTCTCGTTTTATATAAGGTATAACTTTTGTCCGTAGCCGGCACCTATAGCCGGCAACCTAGTATAGTTCTAACTCTTTTTCTCTAGCTTCGTCGTCTAGCAATATATACGAACTCGAGCTTATAGAGATATAACCGATTCGAGGCTATTTAAAAGAACCTAATCGAGCGCCCTAAAACCGATGCCTAGAATATCGCA